CCCCCCCCCCAAATCCCAAACCAAACAAAAACAAAAAACACTAAAGCAATGATTAACTTACAATGACAGGAAGTCTTCGTATCTCACCAAAAAAACCCTGTAAATTTATAAAATTTCCACCCCATAAATGTACGTGGAACGCACCTGAAAGAGGATTCAGCTGGTTCCTTCTTCATGACCTGTAGAAGCCTGGTTAACAAACCTCTTTTTCCATCACAGACTAGACTTCTAAAAGATACAGAAATAAGAAGAGAGTGGAAGAGTTGGCAAGAGTAGTACACTACAAAGTTAACTTTTGGAGATTAAATTAAATTGTCACCAAGCTTTAATAAGCTAGTCCAGTATTACACAAAGTTATACATTAGTTACTTTCACACCATCACCAACTCATGGGTGTTGAAAGCTATGAAAGCTGCATTTTACAATAACTACAAAAAAGTATTTTTTAAGGTAGTCCCAGAGAAAGCATTTTTGTTTGAAATGCTAATAAATACAAAGCTCATGAAGTTTTGTGATCAGAAAGTGAAGGTGATACAATACAGAAAATGAGAATGGAGGAGGCACATTTATTGTAGTTCTTACCACTTGCAGAGGGGAGAGTCTGGTTCAGTGACAAATGCAGCGTATTTGTATGGAAATCTAGACTGAGGAATATGCCTAAACTAAAGAATAATGGATACAGAAAAAGCCCATACGACTAAAGCATCAGTAACATTACCCTGATGCATACAGGAGATATCTCTGTGTACAGGAAGTAAACAAAGACAAGCTGACATAAAAATCCTATTATCCAGAAAGATTGTGTGTGGCCACTCTAAATATGGGGGTAGGAGCAGCGGGGTTGAAACACACTAATCCTAGGCCAGAAACAGAATTGTGCTGGCCTCGGGGCTAGAACATAAGCTGTCTTGCACATGTAGGACAAAATGGATTCAAGTGGGGATTCCCTTTTCTTTCACTCTAAAACAAGTAGCACACATATCTAAGCTGGTACATGCAGGTTACTACCTACATCCTGGTTAATGGAGTTGCTGATACAGGTTGTGGTCAACTGACCAAGCCTTCCAAAAAGGAGTGTGCTGGCTACAGATAGCTGCCTCCTTAGTAATGCTCTGAAGAACCAGGAAGAGTTTGCTCTGGGTTTTAAACATAATGGAAAAGGCTATCTATGCTCTCAGCTCTATTCTTTCCAGAACACATGTATAACACAGGGTGGCTTTTCCTCCCGAACTGATAAAGAGGTTCACTCCTTTCTGAAGAAGAGCCAGAAGGACAGCATTACTATGGAGAGGTTACAATCAATGTAAGAGGTGGTTTCTCATTACTAAAGGTAGATCATTTTAAACATTTAAAAACTGGAAAAAATCCCTCTTGTGCCGTTCTTCTTTGAAGAAAGATAAGGGCACCTTTCCCCACACAGCAGCTCCCTGAACTTACATGTAAACGTTATAGGTAAGGTTTACTGACCACAATGGTTTTGACTTACGAGCTCTGTAGGAGTAAGGTAAGGTAGATTCCTTTGAGTTGCACATCAACAGAATCAAGGGCTTGTCTATGTAGTTTCATTAAATCTGATACGTAAATCAACTGATGAGGTGTAAATCTATACTGACAACCCTCTTCTGCGGTTCATTAGCCAGAAAGATTCCACCTTATTTCACAGCTGTCATTTGTGAAACTGGACGTTAGACTGGCATATATCTACTGGTAATGAAACATGTAATATGGAAGTCATGGACACAAAAATGGAACCCCATGAAATCATTTTCAGAGTACAAGTGCACTTTGGGTGCTTACAGACATGGGGGGAACCCCCCCCCAAAAAAAACCCTTTACTTTACAGTGCTTTACCTTTCAGATTGGTGCACCTCTGTGCCAAGCACAGCACATGCTCAGAAGAGGAACTGCGTCAGTTTGACCCGTCTTGCCCAGTGTCTGTACAGCTCATGTGCTTCAGCAGGGCTTTTTTGGCACTCTTATCTAATAGCTGATTAAATCAGCTATTAGATAAAAGTGCTAAAAAGTATCACTGAAGTGCATGAGGTATACAGACACTGGAGAGCTCTGTCAAACCGATGCGATTCCTGTTCCGGTAAAGCTTTGGGGGTTTTTTTGTCCACATCTATCAGCACCCTTTAAGTTACTAACGATGAGGAACATCATTCAATACCCACATTCTTGGTACTGCAATACATTGCTCAAATTAAGGGAATGACATGTTGTGCAAGATTTAAACAGAACAGACAGCACAAGTTCTTACATTGAAGGTTTTACTAAATGCCAAAAAAAACAGGTTAGGACACCTAGGCCTTCCAGCCTACCTGTCTGTGTTAACAACTGCATCTGCTTCAGGGATGTTTGCTTTGAGAGAGATTGCACTCAGTTCATTAAGTTCTTGACTGTTTAAAAGAAGATACTTGTTCCTAAAAAAAAAATTTCAGAAAAGAAAATGAGGCCGAATAAATATATCCATTTGTTTCCTTTCTAATCTTTATATACTGCATCAGCATTATAAAATAGGCAGGAACCAGCAAACCAAAACCAAAGACTGCTTAACCATGAAATCTGTGAAGGTGGAAAGATGGAGACAGACATTCATTTATACAGTTTGCTCCATACGCCAAGAGCACGCGATCCTTAACAGGGCTACAAATCTGCTAAATTGTAAATCTCCCGTATGATTTGGTTCCAGATGCTAATATTTCCTCTTAAAGCAGCTGCATGCTGTTGTTCTCAGTAGCAATGATGTCTTTTTCAGTTACATAAACACATGCAAATAGAGGTAAGGGAATAAAGATACAAGATAACACCAGGCTTCCCTTTGAGCTCTTATGAATTAGAGTTGCCTGTGGAGATTTCATGCCTCTGAACAAGTTATTCACTAAGGGTGCGTCCAGACGAGCGTGGCCATGCAGTATGTGGTGCAGCAAATGCATCTGCAATGTCACATACCACAATCAAGTGTTTTCCACGCTGCAAGGGCACGCTGCCTGTGTGTGTGCTGCTCTGTTTTTTTCCCACCCGTTGCGGGTTTTTTTGACCCCTGGGGTAAAAAAAGAAACACAGGAAAAAAACCAAAACCCAAACAGAGCAGCATACATACAAGCAACGCGCAACACTGAAAAGCAGATTTCAGGATGCCCAAAGCCATGCCACTGCTGCCAACCAGGCTCCGCCTGGCAGCACTGTTGCCGCTTCAACCCTGGGAGGCCCCCAGCACCTCATGTAAGGCTCCTGGGGTCAGCACAGTGCTGGCCCCAACCTCCCCTACTGCCCCTGGGGTAACTTGCCATGTGCCAAAGCACATGTGGCACAGGTGTTCCCTGGGGACAAGTAGCTGCGGCGCAAGGTGTGCTGCTGCTATTTGTCCCTAGGAAGCCAAATGTCCGCATTCGTCTGGACATGGCCTAAAGTGCTATCGTGCCCTACCTTCAGCCACCTGGTACTTCTGTTGCTGAGTATCAGCTGAAACTGTTCCATGAAACTTCCATTTCCTTGTAAGCCAACATGGTTCTGCATGGTTCAGAACTCCTGGCACTATGCATAAAGGAATGACCTGAACCCTTAGCCAGTAACCCTCGATTTGATTTGTTTATAAATTCTACAGAGTGCTTTCTGTCATCAACAGGAGAGTTCAGTCTCTTATTCTTAATGTGCATTAATTAACAAACAGATTATTTTCTTTTGCTTTTAATTTTAATAATCCATTCTTAATTTTTTTCTTTTTACAGGATTTGATAACTTCCATCCATTTCAGTGCATTTCATGTGCCCACTTTAATGGTCAAAAGCTGTTCAGCTCTTAGGTTAAAACTATTTGTTTTAACCATGTCCAAGAGCCTTACAACAGCCATTTTAATATGGACAGTATCTAAGAAACTTTTTCTTAGTCTAGAAACAACAACTGGCTGATCCAACAGCAGCTGCTGAAGTGGATTTCTTTTGACAAACAAGAGTATTCAGTATTTTGAGAGAAAAAAAAACTTCAGAATTGCAAAATTCACAGATTTCTAAGGGCTGAGAAATTATTATCATCATCTGGTTTGACTTGTATAATGGAAGGGAAATGTGGTATCAAAAGTTTACTACGAAGGAACTTGAACAGCTACCAATTTAAGCTAAAGGAATGAAATTCAGGCTGATTAAACAGAATTCACCCAAGACTGTTCTGCCAGAACACTGGGACTAAAACTCTTGGCTCATGAACAGTTCTATGGGATCCTTGCTTTCCTTTCCAACTAAAAAATCTCCCCAGCAACACAGTCCCTGTTTAAGCACATTCTGAGGGAACATCTGTCTTGACTGAATCATGGTAGCGCTATCCTACTGTTTTTTATTTACCAAGTGACTTTATACCAGTAAGTAGTGAAGAACTTAAATACAACAAGTCAGGCAGTGATGACACACAGCTTCTCTTGAGCATAAGTCAGTAGCTCAATAATAACTGTATTTAAAAAGGAACAAGCAACACCTTAAATGCAACTCCCTATTAGCTCCCATTCCATACTCACTCATGATGATCACTAAAACTTTGAAGAAGCCTCAAAAACTGTATCTTTAAAGTAATGTCCTAAAAAAAGGAAAAAAGAAGATGAAATAGGCAACCAAGTCAAAACCGGAACTGGAAGTCTTTCACAACAGAAAAAGCATACCTGACATTTAGGCAGCAATTGCTTGACAAACAGGGAACAACAAAAAATCATGAGTCCCGAAAAATGGGCTATAAATGGAAAAGACTAAGGGCCATGAAGGTTCTATTCAAAACAAGGCTTTTTCCCCCATTCACTATGTGGAGGACACCCCAAGTTGCACAGCCCTGGCGGAGTGCAGGGGAGCTGCTACAGCTCTAGGACTGGGACTAGAGGTGTCACTGCTGCTGCCTGGAGAATGCCAAAGCCACAGATACACAGGGTAAGCAGTGATGTATTGTATCACTATCCAGTTTTATAATGGTCTAATGTAGCGCTAAGATGCAGGCTGTACCACAGGTGTAACACCTGAAATTACCTTCCAAAATGTGAAGTTAGGATACTCACTGGGCTACAATCACAATTTTGATTATGTCCATGAAGAACAAGAGCTGATGCAGAATGTTTCCTCCAGATCAGTTTGTCAAACAGGTTATTAAGACCAGGAATCAATTTGAATTCTGCAATCATTTTGTGAACCTGGAAAAAGAACATCTTAAACTTATATAATCTCTGGCGTCTCCAAACATGGAAAAAATACAGTTCAAAAGACAGAAGAGCATAACTACATCTCTAATAAAGTCACTGAAAGGATTTACTGAACAATTTGGATTTATTTTAGTGTTTACACAAAAAGTGGTGTATCCTCAGAAGAAAGAGTACTAGCCTGGTAACACTGAAGAGAAACTGTGAGTTCAGTTTCTGTAGAGAGCCTTTAACAGTGTTTGAACTTATCTTCTCTTCAGGAAGAAGAGATTTGGTATACTCAAAACAAAAGTAGCATTCAATTATATACAGTTTGAAATACATATCAGTAGCATATTAGGGCCAGGTCCTAGTATGCATCTGGTCTTGATGCTAGTCCTATCAATGATACTAGAAAGCTCCTTACAGACAGCAATGGAAAATGCCAAAAGACTTCCCTTTTGTTACTTTGCTAGTGGATACTTTGTGCTGTGAATGACACCGAGTCATAAAGCAACAACAGAAAATTTTACTGAAAGGTACAAACAGCACATGTTTAGAAGCAGATGATCACCATGGATAGTTTTACAAGTGCTCCGGGACTGGGGAGCTTTAAATAGAGCAACTCCAAGAGCCTCTCTAATTAAAGCGCCACAGTGTCATACTAGTGTCTCTGTGCTTCAAAATGGTGGTGGGGGCGCTTGAACTAAAGCTTGTCCAAGCTTTAATTCAAGTGCCCCCACCACCATTTTGAAGTGTGGGGATGCTAGTACATGAGACGTGGGGGCTGGCTGGAGCGCAGTAATTACTATGCTCCGGCAGACTCAATTAGTCAAGTCTGCCCCCCCCGCAACATGTCTACAGGAACCCCATGTTTTCCTAGAGTGACCTTTTAAAAAAGAAAATTCAGAACAACATCTCAAGGCATGGAGCCAAATATATTTACTGGTTTATAGACCAGTGTAAATTACACTGAAGTCAGGAAGGGAGAGAGACGTGAAGCTACTGCAGAATAACGGATGCAGTAAGAGGCCATCACTGCACCATACAACTGGGTGACAAAAGAGTAGGCGATAACTTATATGCCTGTATCAGCTGCTGTTAAGGGATGAAGTGGGTATTTTCCCACTAATACACATAAGGTTAGCTCAGTTTAAGGGCTTACATCTTTTTTTTTTTTTTAAGCAGACAGTTTAATTCTAATGAGATCAGTATAAACATCACAATTTCAGCTGAATGCTTCCTTTTTTTTTTTTGGATAAAAAGCTTCAACAAGATGTATTAAAACAGACTCCTGTAGTTCAGACATTTTTCTATCAAGAGAGATATGGATGGGATGAAAATTGAAGGCAAAAAATTGATATAGTTACAGATGCTAAGAAAGCTGCATCCCTTCAAGCGAAAGACCCAGAAATAAAAAGCCTTTGACTGTATATAATAGAGGACAGGGAGGCAATTAGACCACCTTAAATCCATGATTTGCTTTAAGTCCTGGTCCTATTTATATCTATTCTTATCTCTATGTTAGATGAATATCCTGTCTAGACGTCCTTGGATTACTAACTCCCTGTTCTAGGGAATATACTTAGTTTGAAAATGCCTTGCACACTCTGGATGCTACTACAGAGAATTATTCTATTTATATGTATATTTCTTTCTTTATAGGTTTATGTAGTACAGGTTATCAGTGTTCATAGGACTATATGTCTCTAGACCTTTCTCTAAAAACATGTTTACAAACCACATCCTAAAGGATCACAAAGCTAAGGAACTTTAGGCTGTGAAGTATTGAGGAGTTTTTACCAGACGATTCCATGAAGCTGCATCAAACAATAGCAAGAAACATGGAATGCACAATGAGGCGTGATGGTAGCCTAACTATGGGGATACTTGGATTTAAAGAAATACGAGTTGTCCTGTGCACACCTGAATGTGCAGACAGATGCTTACCTGATTCCTCTGCCTCCCCATCAGCAATACACAGAGAACATACAACACCTCCAGCTTGTACATTATCTCATGCATGATCTTCATGGACTGTGGCAGCTGGGTTCTTGTTGATGTGTTGGCCAAACTGCTTTCATCTGAAGATTCTAAATGAGATGGCAAAGATATGTGCAAGAGAAGTTCAACAAGTATAAATGTTTTAGTTACTACTTTCTACAGCACAGCAATTCCAAGTTAGATGAAAGACATTTCAATACAAGATATGTATCACTGGGGACTTAGATTAGCACAGTGATGGGCTCCATCATAAGCATTCTTTTCCCTGAAAACAAAACAAAACGGGGTGTGTGTGTGTGTGTGTGTGCGCGCGTGCATGCATGCGCACACGCGCACAGCTGTCCCTAGGTGGGGGCGAATCGGGGTGACTGCGCCAGGCCCTGCACTTTGGGGGGCCCCATGGAGCTGGGTGGAGCAGCACGGCAATTCTGTGCTGCTGCCAGCTTCACATCTGGCTTCTCACTACCTACCCACCCAGCTGCCAAATCCACTGCCGGTTTCCTTGCGTCTGGGGGCGAGGCCCTGCACAGGCTGATTTGCCCTGGGCCCTGCACCCTGCTCAGGTCGTCTCTGCATGCATGCACGCACACACACATGCACACACAAAAGGGACAAGAATGCACATAATGCAACATATACACATTGTTAAATAGTTCACTTTGGCAAAGAGCCAATGGAATTTCATAGATGAGGCAAACAGGATTAGGTATGTGAAAGGACATTGTGCCAAATCCCAACAATTGCTTTACCCACGCTCACATGGGAGAAAAATAAGTATCAGACCTAAACATGTCATGTTCAATTTCCTTTTGAGGGGTGGTAAAAGTAAAATGAAAAGGAAAGAGGAGAGTATGAAACAAGCCAGTTAAAATCATATCAGGTACCTGTACTGCTCTGCTCTGCCTCCTCACTGGCTACTCGCATTAACGCATCAAGTACAAGTGCATTGTCCAGCCAGGTGTACCATTCCTCTAACTCCTGAAGAAAACTGGAAGTACCCGTTGTTTCCGATACTTTCCTTGTTGCCAATTTGCATAGTCGCTCAATGAAGCCTGGAATATTTAGAAGTGTAGCTACAAAAGAGAAAAACACAGAACTGTTTAAGCAAACCAAGAGGACAGTCAAAAAGCACTTCTGTCAGACAACTAATTCACTTTGAAGAAACAAAAAAACTTGATATCAAATATGGAGCAATACACAGAACTAAACGGAATATAAAATGAACAAGGTTCACAGGTGTAGCAGCACAGTAGGGGGCACTACTATGCAGAGCTACCTGCCTCACTGTGCCAGGCCCAAAACCAAACTTTGGGAGTCTCCCTTGAGGAGCCTACAGATGGCTGTCCCACTTCCTGGAGAACACCCACAAGCCTTGGGTAACACTGCCACCACCTGGGCACTGGTCTCTGTTTGGGATCTGTGCAGCCCAGGGCTCACGGACCCTGCAAACCTTGGGGGTGCTTTGCCCACAGTAGTATTTCTGGGTGCTTCTTTCAGCCTGAAGCATCCAAAGATAGCATCAGGTAGCTGAGGGAAAATAAAAAGACAAACTTCACTGACCAAGTTGGGAGCGAAAGGCTTCCCCTCTCTACCCACAGTAGCTCAACAAGGCACGCTGTAACCTGGTACCTTTATTGATCGGGGAGGTGGGGAGGGGGTAGAACGAGGAAGTGAGAATATACTTTGAGCAAACGTAAGCACGTGAGAGTCTTATAGTCTTGGACTCAGTGATCCTTTTAAGATGCAACTGGCCTACACATAATTCCTAACTCCTGGCTAGTTTCCATAGTTTTCCTTTTTTTTTTTCTTTTTGTTTTTAAACTTACAGTGAATCTCCAGGCAGCAGCCTGGAGTATTTGCTTGCTGCATTCAAAATGCCTGCTGGAGGAAGAAGGTGCTCCCCAACCTAGGAATTTATCTGACCAGGTCACCTGATTGACCAGCCTGTACCAAGAAGAAAACCAGGAGATAAAGGGGTCACCTGGTTTGACCCAAGGGAGGGGCAGACAGGGATTTCTTCACAACAGGCAGTATTCTTAATAGGCGCTGTATACCAAGAGATGAAAATAACATTGTGCCA